TACTACTCAGTACCACTACCGAAACAAATCGAAATTAAGAACACGAACATAATTTTTTTGTATCGTCAATCTCATTGATGTTCTAGTAAGTATAAGTAAATTTATTTAGGTATACACAAATACAGTTACATAAATTATCATACATAGCAGCATATGTATATGAGTGGAATATTATGAAATATTTCGTAGGAGCACTTGAGGGGACCTTCACTCACTGGTAAACAATGCCAGACTGGCTGGGTAGGGAGGCCGCCTTGGCTCACACCGTGCGTACGCATCCCGGACGAACTACTATTCGCGAGTCAACCTATGAAAAGCGAGTTCATGTTTAAACGAAAATACCCCTATGATTGGCAAAATTTACGATTGCCGAGAACTACGATAAGCGAGGGACCACTGTATTACAGAGGCCTGAAACACACACTCAACCCAAATGTGAAGCAAAATTTGTCATGCAGACTTTGTATGGCATTCTCAGTTTTTGTTTTTCATGGTGAGGGGCTCTTGATCTAGGGAATTGGATCTGTGCTCCAGTTCCCTGAATTGAGCCTGAATACCTTCTATCCCCCCCTGCAGGTGCTGTATAATCCCTACTGGTTTAGCACTCCCCCATGATTATAATAATAATCTGGGCAGTGTGATAGATGTTTCTTACAATGTACTCTAGGGCAGTGTGATAGATGTTTCTCATGTACTCCAGGGCAGTGTGATAGATGTTTCTCACAATGTTCTCAAGGGCAGTACGAGACATGTTTCTCACAATGTTCTCCAGGGCAGTGTGAGACATTTCTCACAATGTACCCCAGGGCATTGTGAGAAATTTCTCACATGGGGACAAGAGTATAATAGATGCTTAATACTAAGGATCATATCATAGTTGTACAGTAGGATAGTAATTATTTCATAGTTATACAGTAGAATGTTAATTATAAATGAATCAAAATTTGTATAATACGAAGATATATTCTAAAATGCTTTTGTGAAAACAATGATTCAATTATATTTCTGTCAACAATGAATAAAAGGTTCAATGTGATTGTTTCAGTTATGATGTGGGAGTACAGTGGACCCCCGGTTAACGATTTTAATCCGTGCAAGAGGGTTAATCGTTATGCGAAATAATCGTTATGCGAATGAATTTTCCCCATAAGAAATAATGGAAATAAAATTAATCCGTGCAAGACGCCCAAAAGTATGAAAAAATTTTTTTTTTACCACATGAAATGTTAATTTTAATACACACAAACTGAAAAAGGCATGCACAATTAAATGACACTTACTTTTATTGAAGATCTGGTGATGATTGATGGGATGGGAGGAGGGGAGAGCATTATCTTCTTACTGTTTAGAAGGGGAATCCCCTTCCATTACGACTTGAGGTAGCAAGTCCTTTTCCGGGGTTACTTCCTTCTTCTTTTAATGCCACTAGGACCAGCTTCAGAGTCACTGGACCTCTGTCGCACAACAAATCTGTCCATAGAGCTCTGTACCTCCCGTTCCTTTACGATTTGTCTAAAATGGGCCACAACATTGTCATTGAAATAGTCAACAGCACGGCTTGCAACAGCTGTGTCAGGGTGATTTTCATCTATAAAGGTTTGCAGTTCAACCCACTGTGCACACATTTCCTTAATCTTTGAAGTAGGCACAATGGATTCCACAACTGGCATAGGCTTCTCAGGGTTAGCCCCAAACCCTTCAAAATCTTTCTTAATTTCCATACTAATTCTCACCCTTTTTACCACATGGGTGGCACTGAAAGCTTTCTTGGGCCCATGGTCACTTATTTTCCAGAAACAGCACCGAAAATACTGTAATAATACGAAATATTCCGAGTGTATGCTTGGATGTTACCGCGGAGGCTGGCTGGTAAACAATGGGACGGAGCGGCACATGTGAGGCTGGCTGAGGGCACATTGGACGCGTCTCGGACGAAAATCGGTATGCGGGTTTTTAATCGGTATGCGCGGCAAAAATTTTGCGATAAAAGTAATCGTTATGCGGAAAAATCGCTATGCGATGCCATCGTTATGCGGGGGTCCACTGTACATAGGTGAGTAAGTGCGTACTGAGTATTTAGCATTTAGTCTAGGGTGATTAAGTGGCTTTTGTGAAGAGTCTTAAATTGATTTTCAGACTGGGTTACTTTAATATCCTCTGGCAATGAATTCCATATTTTGGGGCCCTTTATGTGCATAGAGTTTTTACACAGTGTGATATGGACACGGGGTATATCAAAAAGAGATCTGTGACTTGTGTTGTGGTCATGTGTCCTGTTTAGGTTGGTGAGAAGTTTGAGTGGGGGGTTTATATTTGCATGTATTGTTCTGTGTATATAGTAGGCACATGAATAAATATGGATGTTCTTAATGGTGAGCAGATTCAGACTTTTGAAAATTGGTGGAGTATGCTGGCAGGAGTGGGAATTTGTTATCATTCTTACTGCTGCCTTTTGCTGGGTTATGAGGGGTTTTAGGTGATTGGATGTTGTTGATCCCCATGCACAAATTCCATATGTAAGATAAGGGTATATGAGTGAATGGTACAGTGCCAGGAGAGCTGATTGTGGAATGTAGTACCTTATCTTTGATAGTATGCCTACAGTCTTGGAGATTTTCTTGGTGATTTGTTGTATCTGTGTCTGGAACTTAAGGCTACTGTCAAGGTGGATACCTAGGAATTTTCCCTCTGTGAGTCTTGTGACTGATGATCCATTTAGCGTTACGTTAATTGGATCATTTGCAGCTTTGTTTTCAAACTGAATGAAATAGGTTTTATCAGTATTCAGGGTAAGTTTATTAGTCATCATCCAGGCAGATATTTTCTGTAATTCAGCATTGACTGTGTTTGCTAGTATGACTGTGTTTGGGTGGGAAAAGACATATGTAGTGTCATCTGCAAATAATATGGGTTTGAGTAGCTGTGATGCATTTTGTAGATCATTGATGTAGATGAGGAAGAGGAGTGGTCCAAGGATGCTTCCTTGTGGGACTCCTACTGTGATTGGTTGGGTGGAAGAGTTTGCATCATTTGCATACACATATTGAATTCTGTTACTAAGGTATGACTTTAGGTAGTTGAGGGAGTGGCCTCTGATACCAGCAGTTCATGGTCGACTGTATCGAAAGTTTTATGTAAATGAATGAAAATGACCAACGAGACTTCTTTCTTTTCAAGTGCAGTATATATTAGTTCTAGCATGTGTATGATAGCATCATTTGTGCTTTTATTATTCCTGAATCCAAACTGACAAGGGTTTAATATGTTGTGTGAAACGAGGTAGGAATAGATCCGTCTACGAATTAATGTTTTCTTATGAAAAGATAGAGAATCTTTTCCCAATCATAATGACACCAAAAGTATGAAATTTGATGGAAAACTTATGGAATTATGCTCTCGCGAAGTTAGTGGTCTCGACGATGTTTACGCAGAGGCGATTTTGCCCACTTTGAGCCCTATTTTCGGCCAATTCCACTGTACTAGTCGACAGAAATCATTAATATTTCGCTAGAACTCCATTTTTTCTATCGAATGAGTGCAAGAAACCCCATTTACCGATTTCAGCTATCCAATACAGTGGTCAGAATTTAGCAATTTTGCCAATTTCACACAAATTTCAAAAGATGCCAGTTTCCAAATAGGGTCCAGAATAAACAAGAAAGACATTCCTGGCACTAAAATGACATTTCCTCTGTTCATTAGTCACGTCCCAACGCCCCTCTTACACTCTTTTGCATTCCACTTTGAATTTTTATTCTCACAAAAAATAGAAGATTTACTGCATTAGTGTAAAAAATGGTATAAATAATATCAGCGCACTTGTGAAAGAATATTAGACTTACCAGTTGACGTGTATTGGACGCTTAGCATGATTTGTTTACTTTTGAACTTTGGTAAAAATCGAACATTTCTGCTACTTTGAGCTCAATTTCAAGGTACTTTTCATTGTAAAATCAGTCAGAATCATCTCAATTTCTGTAATATGTCTTCCATTCTATAGAATGAGACCAGGAAAACTAGAATACAACAATAAATACCATACGAAAATACAGTGCACAGTCTCTGTTTTAATCCAAAAACATGATCAAAGTTTTTATTTTCTCATTACGCACTGTGTGCTGCAGGATTTTTTTTTATACTGTGCACACTGACCACATAGACCCATTCTTTCATATGTAGGCCTACCAGCTTTCTCTCACTAGATTTGAGGGCGCTAGAATTTAGGCGTACTAGTACGTCAAAAACCCTGGTGTGTAAGACGTACTAGTACGGCCGAAACCCTGAAAGGGTTAAGTAATGGTAAACAAAGTTCAATGGACAGATAGTCACTATGATATAATATAATGGCAAAATATTGAACTTATTACACTTTAGCACCTGAGAATAGCACCTTGATTATTTTAACAATTGTGAATATATGAACTAAGGTAGTTAAATAAAGCTAAAATAAAGGAGAAAATATATAAGAAACTAAATTAAGTAATGGTAAACAAAGTTCAATGGACAGATAGTCACTATGATATAATATTGATTTGGGAGTAAGATCTGATTTGTAATGTATAATAAGTTGAGCAATTAATTGCACTATAAAAAGTAGAGAAATATGAGGTAGCTGGTACTAGCTAGCAAAAGATAGTTTTGGTTTTGGGACTCACACAATAATGTAATTGGAATATACACTAGTTGCACACACAATATAAAAGGGACTAAAAGAAGAAGTGGTAAACAGAATTAAGTGGGCAGGTAGCAACCATGAATAACATTAATTTGGAGTAAGATTTGACTTGCAACACAAAATTATGAGCAAAATTATGAGTGTATACTGTACTCTATACTGTACTGTATTTGGTGTAGACTGACAGAATAAAACAGTGACATTGGTGATAGAGTAATATGAAAGAAAGTGGTCTTTGATGAGTTTTAAAACTGATGGTTCATTATTTATTTTGTTGGATAATTTTGCCAAACTGTTTTTCTGTATCTCTTTACTGTTGTTACAGGAGGTGGCTTCTTATCAGCATAAAATACAACAAATGTCTATGAGTGAGATCAGTCTGCGTACACAACTAAACTCATATATGGAGAAGTATGAAGATTTCCAGAATACTTTAGATAAATCAAACAAGATTTTCAACACTTTTAAGAAAGAAATGGATGAGGTAAGAACTTCTTTTCTTCATCAGATAGATATGATGGAGATAGTGAATTATCTCAGTAAAGCAAAATTTTTCTTTTTTGCTTCTTTGACAGTGAATTAAATGTGTGTGTTAAATTTTATTGTTTTTTTTTTTTTCCCTTGTTTTCAAATTGTGTAAAGTGCTTTTTTAATTTTTGCTCAAAAATCTGTTTTGTTTCAACACTTGACTGCAACTCCCTTTTGAAACATCATAGCCACAGGGGGGTTAATTTTCCAACTCCCCTGAAAAGAAAAATTTCAGTAAAGGAAAGGGGACTTAGATTTTTCACTTTAAAATTTTGCATATAAAAGCCTGAAAAATATTTATATATTTTAAATTTTAACCCCTAAAGGGCCCAAACATAAAATATACTTCTTCCCGGCCCCCAAATCGTATATATACGTTTTTTTTTTCCTGCCCCCAAAAATTTGGCACGTTTGGCCTGAGATCCCTTATCAGCTTTGAATGGTTTTAAAATTTTTTGGGACTGTCGCAACCCCACCCCCGAGGTTCTCCTGGTTTGAAAAATTTAAAAAAAAAAAAAATTATTTTTTCTTATGAAATGATAGAGAATTTTTTCCCCTGTTTTTGTAATGACACCAAAAAAAACGAAATTTGGGGAAAACTGAGGGAAATTTTATGCTCTCGCGAATTTCAACCTGGGCGCTGTTTACAAAGGGCGTTTCGCCCATTTTGGGGCCCAAAATTTTTGGGCAAAATTCCTTTGCCCCCAGTCCCCCAAAAATCAACTATTTCTTTAAAACCCTCCCTTTTTTTTCTATCGATTGAGTACAAAAAAACTGCCCATTTACCAAATTTTCAACTCCCAAAAAAAAGGTGGTCAGAAATTTGCAATTTGGGGAAAATTTACAAAAAACTAAAACATGTGACAATTTCAAAATAAGGCCCCCAGAATGAAAAAGGGCCGACATTCCTGGCTCTAAAATAACATTTTCTTTGCTCCCTAGTCTTGTCCCCCAGGCCCCTCGATATTACCCCTTGCTTTCTATTTTTGAATTTTTTTTCAAAAAAAAAAATAGAAGACTTACTTTTAATGCGGGACTACTCCCAATACGAAATTTAATTGTAAAAATAAAATAAAACCCCATTCATGACTGCCATTTTAGAAGGGCTTTTTGGACATTTTTTGGGGACAATGGCATCATTTTTTATTTTTTAAAAATTGGAAAAAAAATCAAACATTTCCCCTATTTTTGACCCCCATTTCTAGGTTTTTTTTATATTAAAATAAATCAAAACCCCCCTCTATTTCTATAATATTTTTTTCCCTTTTCTTCAATTGGACCAAAAAAAACGAGAATACAACCTAAATACTATCCCAAAAATAACCACAAAGCCCGGAAATTTTAGTTAAAAAAAACGGTCGGAGTTTTTTTTTTTTCTTTATGCACGGCGTGCCCCGGTTTTTTTTTTATATGGTGCCACTAAACCACCCGGGGCCCCCATTCTCTCACATGGGGGGCCCTACCACTTTCTCCTGCTTGATTTCAACCCGCTAGAATTTATGAAAATATATACAATTACTAAAAAAGAGAAGAAGAAAAACTTTAAAAAAACGGGGTTTGCTTAAATGTGCGTGGATGTAGTGGGGGAAGACAAAAAACAGTGATTCCCTGTTTGTTATGAATGAAAAATTTGGTTTGTCCTGGCCCTAAGCGAAAAAAAGCTGAAGGGGGTAGGGGAATTTTCAGGGGGGGGAAAAAAAAATGGGTTTAAAATTTAAAAGAAATTCTGAGAGATTTTGGGGAAAAAAGGAAGGGGTACCCGTAATTTTTAAATGATCAGTTATGGAAGGAAAAAAGGGAAATAGGGAATTGAAAAATTCAAGAATTATGGGGGGAAAAAGAAAAGGGTTTTGGATCGAGAAGGGGTCTAATAAGCGTTATGCACCGGGGAAAAAGAGGGGGAATGCAGAGGAGAGAGAGAGTTTTTGGGAGTTTGTTAAGGAATGTATAGGAGCCTTTGAACCTGAGGGGCGTAATTGGGGGTAGGGGACTTGAATGCTAAAGTAGGAGAAACTTTTAGAGAGGGGTGGTGGGTAAGGGGGGGGTTTCCCAGGTGTAAATGAAAATGGGACCCCTTTTGATTGAATTTTTGGTATAAAAAAGGGGGTTTTTTTAAAGGAAATACATATTTTAAAAAAAAGAGGAAAATTTAAGTATACCGTTTGATGTGGGGCAAAATGACAGTAGTTTGTTGGTTTTTAAGGGTTTGGGAAAAAAAGATTTTTAGTGGGATTTCAGGATGTCCCATTTTTAAATAGAGGGGCCAAAGATAAATCAATAAATTTCTAGTTGTAGCACACTGAGGGGGAAAAAGGTTTAAGAGGGGATAAAAGGAGAATAAAAGCATCGGGGAGAGGGGTGGAAAAGGTTTAAAACTAAAAGAGGAGGCAGTTAGGGTAAGATAAAAAAAGCTATTGGAGGATAGAGGGGCTAATGAAAATTTTGGCAATGGGGTCAAAAGGGGATGGGGTGGGTTTTAAAAAATGAAAGGGGTTAGGTGTTCAGCAGAATTTGTGGTTACGGGGAAAGGGGGCAGGAGGGAAGAGGAGCGTTGGGGGAAATTTGATATGTAAAGAGATTTTTTAAAAGGGGGAGAAAAATTTAGATATGAGAAGTTTTTACAAATTAAAGTGATGCAAGGGGGGGAAGAGTATAGGGAAAAAAAGGAAAAGAAGTTAAAGAGTGGTGAAGCAATGTAAAAAGAGGGGCAAATGGAGAGTGGGTGAATTTAAAACAAATTTGTTGAAAAAAAAAAAATTTTTTGGGAAGTAGATTACAAGTTAAGAAAGCCTAGAAAAAAATTGGATTTGTCATTAAAAATAGGGAGGAGATTTTATTAAATGGAGAGGTTGAGGTTTTGGGGAAAAAAGGGAAAGGGAAATTTTGAGGAATTTTTAAAATGTTGATGAAGTTAGGGAACCCGGGTGATTTGTGTATAGGGAAGGAGGAATAACATCTTGGGGAGTGAGGAATAGCCGTTGTGGTGGGGGGGGAAAGTTTGGGGCAGTATAAAATAAAAGGGGGGTAAGGAAACCCGGAAATTGGGAGGGGATAAAGATAGAAAGTTAAAAGCAAGGGGGGGGAAAATTTTTGGGAGTGGTTGGTGCAATTATTTAAAAAATTGTATGGAAGGGGAAAGGAACCTAGGGTTTTGGCAGAGGCTTGCATTTTTCCCTTTTGTAAAAGGGCAAAGGGGTAAAAGGGGGTGCAAAAATTATTGGGGGATAAGTTTTTTGGGGTTACCGGAAAAGGTATGGTAGGTTAAAAATTAAAAAGAAAAAAAGAGAAAGGGACGGAGAATAGGATAGCGGGATGAAAAAGGAGGCTTTAGGAAAGGTAGGGGGGTGTGGAAAAGGTGTTTACAGTGAAACATATAAGTAAAACAGTTTTTTAGTTTAAGGGCCAAGAGGTCTTTGGGGCATTTAGGGTTTTTGGAAAAAGGCGTATAAACAGGGTGGAAAGGGGGGCAATGGGGGCAGAGTTGAAAGGGTATGGTGTGGGGAAGGTAGGTTATTTGAAACATTTGAAGATTTTTTAAACAAAGGGATAGTGGGGCCAATTTTTAGAGTTTGGGGAAAAAGGGGAAAAATTTTTTTCCCCCAGTAAAAGTGGGCCCTTTTAAAAAAGGGATGTGTGATGTAAACCTTTGGTTTTTTAAAATTTTAAAATAGAGGGGGGTTGTAAAAAGAAGTAAATGCGAGGGTTTTGGGCAAGAGGCGTGGAGTTAAAAAGTTGAATCACACAAAAAAGTGGGAGTTTCAAAAGCTCCCTCATTCCCGATGACACTGTGTCTTGGGAGTTTTTTGAAGAGAATTGCCAGGTTTGGGTGGATAAATTTTGGGTTTAAGGGGTGCAAAAAAAAAAAATTTAAAAGGGGAACGGGAAAGATTTAAGGTTAGGGAGGATAACAAAAAAATTAGGTGTTTGAAAGATTGAATATCAGATTGGAGGGGAGAGTATGGAGGAGGTAACTATTCAGATATTTGGGGTGGACGGGGTCAGCGGTGGGGGCTATGAAAAATGAGGTGAAACATAAAAATTGATGAGGGAAAAAGAAATGAGTGGGGCACTTAAGGGGTCGGGGGAGACAAAGAACTTGTCCTTGGAGGCAAAGAGGGGGAATGTTTTTGGGGTTTTTTTTACCCCGCTCTTATTGGGGGTGAAGCGGGGGATGAATGTTGCAGCGAGGGAAGGTGGAGGCAGTGGAGATTTCCCTGTCTGAGGGGAATGTGTGGTGTGAAATATTAAAGCAGAGAATTCGTAGTTTGGAAGTTTTGGGGGGGTGCGGGATTACCCCAAAATGTTTTTTCCCGAGGGTGGGAAGGGGTTGTTGAAGGGGGGTTTTTTACATGTAGAGAGAATGGGGGCGAAAAGAATCCCTTTAAGAGTGTAACAGTTTTTTAGTGGGGAAAGGGAAAGGGGGGGTAGGGGGGGGCCTATAAGGGGGTTTTAGGGGGGGGGTAAAAAGGGGGTTTTGTGTGCGAGGGGCCCTTTGGCTTCCCGCAGGCTTTGGGGAAACGTGTTTGTAGGAAATGAAGGGAAAAAATGGGTTTTTTAAAACTTGACGTGCGTTGGGGGGGACAAAGTAACATTTATGGGGATTCAGGAAAACCCGGGAGGCCGGACTTGAGTCCTGGGGATGGAATTTCAGTCCTTTCCAAATCGAAAGGGGGGGTTTTAAAGTTTGCAGTTTAAAAAATGTAGTGTAAAAAAACACCCTTCTGGCCCAAAACATTTAAGGAAATGAATGAAGGGGAAAGTTTTTTTTTTTTCCCGGGCCCCCCTGCCTTTGGGGGGAATCGGCCGGTTTTGATAAAAAAAAAAAAAAAAAAAATATTCGTCAAACATGGGACCCCCCCTAAGACGTTATATTCGCCGCGCCCGTCAAAGGGTTTTTAAAACCCGGGGTGCAACCTATTAAAAAAAAACTGGGGGCCAAGTAGTAAATTTGTGGGA